ACACACACACACACACACACACACACACACACACACACACACACACACACGCGCACAGGGTACTATTGTGATGGCGGCGAGGGAAGCCCGACAGACTGGTGCCCTTCAGGGTACTACTGCCTTGCCGGTACACAGGCGTTCTTCCAGCACCCGTGCCCTGCCGGAACATACCAGCCCGAGATTGGCTCCTATCTCGAGAGTGAGTGCTTCAACTGCACCGTGGGCCACTACTGCGAGGAGGCGACCACCACCCCTGTGGCCTGCCCTGCTGGCACGTACATGCCGTACGGCAGCGAGCGCAACGACACGATGGGTTCCGAGGCGTCTCGCATCCTCTCCTGCAAGATTGCCTGTCGCGACCCCGACGACTTTGTCAGCCTGACGACGGTGGCTGAGCTGGAGCAGTGCGAGCTTGCATGCGAGCAGGGCTCCAACTGCGCCACGCACTGTGGCACCGTCAGTGCCGAGTACACGACCGCGTGCAACCACGGGTGCGACTCGTACGATTCCGCTGCCGCCTACGTGCAGGTGGGCGTGTCTGCGGGCGCGGCCAGCGAGTGCATCACGTGCCCTGCAGGCTACAGCTGCAGCAGCGCCACCGTGGACCCCGTGCCGTGTGGCCGCGGGTTCTACTCCGAGGCCGGCAGCGAGGCGTGCGAGCGCTGCCCTGCTGGCTACTATTGCGACGAAGCCGCGGTGAGCGACACAGTGCTGGTGACCAGCAAAGCGTGCAACAGCTCGCTCTACTGCACCTCCGGCCTCTCCGCCCACGACGACGCCGTGCCCTGCCCGCGCGGCCACTACTGCCCTCAGGGTACCGCGCTGCCCGTCACGTGTCCCGTGGGCACCTACAACCCAGACCTGTACGGCGCGTCCTTGGCCGACTGCCACCCGTGCGACGCCGGCATGTACTGCGTGGAGGCCAGCGTCAACCCAACGGGCGCCTGCAACAAGGGCTACTACTGCCCCACCAACATCACCGCATCCGAGGTGCTCAACGGCGTGTCGGGCCTCCTCATCGGCTCCTATGGCCCGAAGCAGGAGCCCTGCCCCGCGGGGACGTACCGCAACGCAACCGGCGGCCAGGACCTCTCGTCCTGCGCCACGTGCCCGGAGGCAAGCTACTGTCCCATCGCCAGCGCGGTGCCAATCACCTGCCCGCGCGGGTTCTACTGCCCGCTTGGCAGCGCCCAGCCCCAGCCGTGTCCAAAGGGAACTATTGGAAACTCTACGGGATTGATTGCGGAGAGCGACTGTGAGGCCTGTCCTGGCGGCTTCTACTGTGATCGCCTTGGCTCCTGGCAGACAACGGCGCCCTGCGACCCCGGTTACGTGTGCACGCTGGGCGCGGTCACCTCTGCGCCCACGGACAACGTCACCGGCTCCATCTGCCCTGCTGGTGGCTATTGCCCGCCAGGTGTGTCCTCTCATCACACACACGGGCGCACGCACACGTTGAACCCACATCACCCGCACACACACACATCACACACACACAAACCTCGCATCACATTATTTGTTGCTTGTTTCGCTGGTCTTTGGCAGCACCCTCATCAGCATGGCTGCACGTTGCCTTTGCCATTCAGGTTCTGCTGTGTCCCAGCCATGCCCACAAGGAACGTTCAACAACGTCACGGGTTCTGTGGACGAGAACGACTGTGTTCCCTGCACGCCTGGTTACTACTGCGCAAGTACCCGCAGCCCCGGCCCCACCGGCCCGTGCGATGCTGGCTATTACTGCACATGTACGTGAATCCACACGAACTGCACAAGAGTGGATGTGTGTGTGTGTGTGTGTGTGTGTGTGTGTGTGTGTGTGTGTGTGTGTGTGTGTGTGTGTGTGTGGTGTGTCATCATCAACTTGAAGTGTGTCGCCTACTTCTTCTCTTCGTAGTCATCTTGTTCTCTCTTGCAACCATGACCTCCCCCCCCAATGCACTCACCCATGCCCTCCTCCCATACCCTGCTCTCATCCTCTCTCGCGCTTTCCTGTCTCCTAACACGTACAGCGGAGAGCAAGGATCGTCGGCAGTTTGTGACGCCTGTGGGGCATTACACGACGGCTGGGTCCTCTGCGCCCATACCGTGCAACCCCGGAACGTACCAGACTGCGACTGGCAAAGGCTCCTGCGATCCGTGTCCTGCAGGCACCTACTGTCCTGATTTCGGCATGAACTCCACCGTCGAGTGCCCTCGCGGGTTCTTCTGTCCGGAGGGCTCCACAAGCTTCTCCGGCCCCAACGGCAACCAGCGCTGCCCCATTGGCACGTACGGCGCGTTCTCAGGCATCGCCAACACCACCGGGTGCGTCGACTGCCCGCCCGGACAGTACTGCGCCAGCCCCGAGGACGGCAGCGGCCTCATGGAGCCCACGGGCCCCTGCGCTGCCGGCTACATCTGCTACGGCAACGCCGAGTTTGCAACACCGGGCCTGGACGGCCTGTCCTGGGGCGCTGTCTGCCCGCCAGGGTACTACTGCCCGGAGGGAACACAGGCGCCCGTGCCCTGTCCACCTGGCTCGTACTCCAACGTGGAGGGCCTGCAGTCAGAGTCGCAGTGCACACCGTGCCCCGCTGCCCGCTACTGCCCCGAGGAGGCCATGACCACCTACGGCGCGTACTGCGCGGAGGGCTACTACTGCATCCTCGGGTCTGCTGTCGCGCGCCCCCTCTCCAACAACAGCGTGCAGCTGCGCGGGCTTGACTCGCTCGACTACTACTACACCACCCAAAACCTCACCCTCAACACAACCCGCCTGGCCGCCTGCGGCCTGCTTGACTTTGGCGGCGACGTGTGTCCGCAGGGCCACTACTGCCCGACAGGGGTGGAGGCCGAGTACATTGCAGGCTTCCCCTCGTTTGTCTGGGAGGGCGGCCCCATCCTGTGCGCGGAGGGAACATACGCCAACTTCACCGGCGCCGCAGAGTGCTGGACCTGCCCTGCAGGGTTTGCCTGCTTCAACCGCGAGCCCTTTGACGCAAACCCGCTGCCCTGCCCAGAGGGCCACTACTGCCCACAGGGCACTGACTCCAACATCCCCGAGTGTCCCGTGGGCACGTACAACAACCGCACCGGGTTGCAGGCGGAGACAGACTGCACGCCATGCCCACCGGGGCTGGCCTGCACGGTGACCGGCCTCAGTGACCCGGACGCGCCCTGTGCAGAGGGCTTCTGGTGCGGCCGCGGCGCCTTCTCCACGCGCCCACGCACCTCCTCCCCACTCGCCGCCACAACGCCCTCGTTTGATGGCGGCCAGTGCCCAGAGGCCCACTACTGCCCCGAGGGCTCCAGCGCGCCCACCCCGTGCCCGCCCGGAACCATCTCCGCCGCTGTGCAGGCCTCGTCCAACGCCACGTGCACCGCCTGCCCGCCAGGCTTCTACTGCGAGGCGGCTGGCCAGACGCAGGCTGCTGCCCAGTGCGCTGCGGGCTACTACTGCGTCAGCGGCGCCACCAGCCCGCGTCCGACGGACGGCGTGACTGGCGACGTGTGCCCCGCCGGGACCTATTGCGAGGCAGGCTCCCACACGCCTGCTAACTGCCCACCGGGCAGCTACAACGCTCTCACGGGGCAGAGCAACTGCACCACTTGCCCCGCCGGCTTCTACTGCGAAGAAGGCGCGTCAGACTACACCGCAACGCCGTGCGACGCGGGCCACTACTGCCCGAACGGCACCGCCCACAGCACGCAGGTGCCGTGTCCCGTTGGCACCTATCTCAACACAACGGGTGCGGCGACGGAGGACGCGTGCGTCCCATGCACCCCCGGCTACTACTGTCCAACCACGGGACTGGTGCAGGCGACGCTGCTCTGCGACGAGGGCTACTACTGCAGCGGCGGCTCGCACGTCGCCCGGCCGCAGGTCAACGGTACAGACGTAGCAACGTGCCCCGGCATCAGCGCGGGCGGCATGTGCCAGGCGGGCACGTACTGCCCACAGGGCGCCCCTGCGCCCCTGCCCTGCGAGGCTGGCCGCGCCTGCACCACCACGGGTCTCAGCGCCAGCAACAAGGCCTGCAGCGCAGGGTTTGTGTGCCTGGGCGGCGCACAAACCACGCGCCCAACTGACGGCGTCACGGGCTACAGGTGCCCCGCAGGCTACTACTGCCCAGCTGGGAGCAGCGAGCCAACGCCATGCCCCGCCGGCACATACTCCCAGGCCTCCGAGGCCTCTGACAGCTCCACTTGCCTGGCGTGCTTGTTGGGCCACGCGTGCACGGCCCCAGCCACAACGTCGCCGGAAGCGTGCGATGCCGGCTATCACTGCAGTGTGCTCGGCCTTAACACCACGTCGCCCGCAGACCTGTTGTGTGATCCGGGCTACTATTGCCCGAACGGCACCACGCAGCAGCTCGCGTGTCCCTCAGGCACATACCAGAATGAGGCTGGCATGGCCACGTGCAAGGAGTGCCCCGCAGGCTTTGTGTGCGATGCGACGTCCTCGCCCGTGGTCACCGGCACGGCGACGCCGTGTCCCGTAGGCCACTACTGCCCCGCAGGCACGGAGGTGGGCACGGCCAACCCTTGCCCCGTCGGCACCATCGGCAACGAAACTGGTCTGGCCAACGTGACGCAGTGCCACGCCTGTCCCCCGGGTCACTACTGCGACGAGGCTGGTCTGACCGAGCCCGCTGGGGAGTGCGCGGGTGGCTACTACTGCCAGTCTGGCGCGACGACGCCCCAGCCGCTCGACGGCGTCACCGGGGACGTGTGCCCCAGCGGCAACTACTGCCCACAGGGAAGCATCAACCCGGTACCGTGCCCGGCAGGCAGCATCACCACGCTGCTTGCGCAGGACGAGGTGGGCGACTGCCAGCCGTGCGATCCGGGCGAGTACTGCCCTGCTGGATCCAGTGCAGGCGACTGCGACGCAGGCTATGTGTGCGTGCGCGGGTCAGCCACCGCTCAGCCCACCACGCTTGCCTTCAATGCTGAGCTCGGCGTGCTGACGGGCGGGTACATGTGTCCAAACGGCACGTACTGCCCTGCCGGCGCCATCTCCGACACGCCCTGTGCTCGCGGCACGTATGCGCCGATGCCTGGCCTGGAGGCGTGCACGCCGTGCCCCGCGGGCCAGCTGTGCGAGGAGCTGGGAACCATCAACCCGGCCGACTGCCCGCTCGGTTTCTACTGCGAGCAAGGCGTGGTCACGCCAGAGCCGTGCCCCATCGGCACCTTTGGAGGCCGCACGGGCCTGCGCGACGTGACGGAGTGCACGCTGTGCGAGGGCGGCCACTTCTGCGACGAGACGGCGCTCACGGCGCCAAAGGGCGAGTGCGACGCAGGGTATTTGTGCGCCGGCGGCGACACCACGCCAGCGCCGACGGGGCCAACCACCTCCATCCTTGGCGACGACACCAACTTCTTCAGCGTTGCCTTTGTCACCATCTTCATTGATGGGGAGGAGCTCAACGTGACGAGCGGCACGTGCCCCCGCGGCCACTACTGCACCAACGGCACTGCAAGCCCCGTGGCGTGCCCGGCCGGCTACTACAACCCGGATCGCCGCGGGGCCAGCCTGGCAGACTGCACGCCGTGTCCAGCGCGCTACTACTGCGCAGACACGGGCATGACCACGTACACGTCCACGTGCGCGGCGGGCTACTACTGCCCCGAGTCTGCCGCCATCGCCACGAGCCAGCCGGCAGGTTACGAGTGCCCGCTTGGTCACCGCTGCCTGGCTGCTTCGGATGCACCGGAGCCGTGCCCGGACGGCGAGTACCAGGACGTGGAGGCGCAGTCGGAGTGCAAGACCTGCCCCGCAGGCAGCGTGTGCGAGTACGGCCGCAACAGCTCCGTCACGCCGGAGCCCTGCCCGCTCACGTACTTCTGCGAGGCCGGCACGGGCCTGTACAACAAGCAGCTGTGCGCCAACGGCACGTACGGCGCGGCCACCGGGTATGCCCAGGCCTCGGACTGCGTGCCGTGCCCGCCTGGCAAGTACTGCAACCTGGGCGTGGTGGAGGGCAACTGCCACGCCGGCTACATCTGCCTGAGCAGCAGCACGACACCCCAGCCCTCGGGCGATGACGCGGACGTGGGCTCGCCCTGCCCAGCAGGGTACGTGTGCCCGGAGGGCACGCTCTCGCCCCAGCTCTGCCCGAACGGCACGGTGGTGATTGAGGGCCTGGAGCAGCAGCAGGTGGTGGTGACGGCCGTGAACAACGACGGTGACCTCATCTCCGTCACGCGCAACATCACCGTGCCCACGCTTGGTGAGGGCGCCGCGTCCTTTGACGCGTGCGACACGTGCCCTGCCAGCCTGGTGTGCGCCGGTGCGGTGGTGACGCCGTGCCCGACGGGCCACTACTGCCCCGCCGAATCCTCCGAGCCCGTGCCGTGCGCGGCCGGCTTCTACAACGCGCTGCCGGCCTCAGACGACCCCACAGACTGCAGCATCTGTCCCGCGGGCTACTGGTGCCGCTACGAGGGCACCTCGGACTTCTCCGATGTCCCGTGTCCGCAGGGCTACTACTGCCCCGTCGGCACGACCACTCCTCGCGCCTGTCCGCCCGGCACGTGGAGCAACGAGACGGCCGCCATGTCTGCGGACGACTGCCAGGAGTGCCCCGCCGGCTTCTTCTGCCCGGAGAACGCCACCACCCGCGTCGTGGACGTGTGCCCCTCTGGGCACTTCTGCCCCGCCGGCTCTGCCGAGCCACGCGTGTGCACGGCGGGCTACTACTGCCCCACGCAGTCTGGCGAGCCGCGCCCGTCCCCGGACGGCTACTACTCGCCCTTCAACTCGTCCGACCCGATTCCGTGCCCTGCTGGCCACTACTGCCCAGCCCCCGCCGCCGACGCAAGCACCGTCATTGGCGACTATCCATCGGGCGCCACGGAGGCGATTTTGTGCCCGCTCGGTTACCGTGACCGCGTGGAAGGCGGTGGAAACCACGATCGGACCACGCTAGACAGCGCCTGCGTTGCTTGCGAGGCGGGCAAGTACGGCAGCCACCCCACGCGTGCCGTGTGCTTCGACTGCGAACCAGGGTTCGTGTGCCTTGAGGGCGCCATCTACGGTAACCCGGACGTCTGGACGGCCGTGAACGCAACGCGCGACCGCATCGTCTACGTGAACGGCAACCCGTACAGCGACGTGGTTGCGCTGGACGTCCTGCCGTACACGGGCGTCGGGTTCAACTACACTGTTAACGGCTATCCGGACACCAAGTCATACCAATGCCCGCCGGGCTACTACTGCCCACGCCAGTCGCCGTACCCGCTGCCCTGTCCGGAGGGCACCTACAACCCGAACAACCGCAGCGTCTCTGTGGATGCGTGCGTGTCCTGCCCTGCAGGCACGTACAACAACCGCGCTGGGCAGTCCTTCTGCCGCAGCTGCGGCTCGTCGTCCTTCTCGGACAGCGGCGCGTCCCTGTGCACCTGCCGCGGCGAGAACCGCGTGTTCAGCCCCGCCGATGCCACGTGCGTGTGCCGCCCGCTCTACGCCTCGCGCGACGGCGCCACGCTGCTCACGGACGTCGAGGACGGCGTTGCAGACTGCCAGCCGATTGTGTTTGACAACTGCCCCGAGGGCAGCGTGCTCAACGAGCACGGCCAGTGCCTGGACGACTCTGGTTGGCTCGCGTACTGCCAGGCCGAGTGCGCGCTTGGCCCGACCCCGAGCGTGTACGACGCTGGCCTTGGTCGCTGTCTGTGCAAGACGCCGGCCCTGGACGACGTCTGCGACATCAGCTGCCGTGCGGAGGAGCGCCAGCGCCAGCAGATTGTGTGCGAGTCCCCACCACGCCTCGTCATCAACCAGGTCAACGCGGACGGCAGCGTGGACGAGGTCATCTCCATCTACACGTCCGAGCTGGGTGTTGGCGCCCTGGGCGACATTGGCCTGGACGCGTGCCCGACGCTGGACGGCCGCCGGTTGCCGTCCTTCCTCATGGTCGCCAACAGCGATGGGCTCACGGGCGGGTACAACGTCCCCACCACCGTGTGGGAGGGCCTGGATGTCAGTGGCGCAAGCAGGCGCCGACGCAGCAGCGATGCTGCAGCCCAAAGCATGGACGGCGCGCAGGGTGCAGCAGGCCACGCCGGAAGCACGGTGCTGTCCTCCAACCTGACCCTCACTGCTGCCGCCGACGGCGAGCTCCCCCGTGCCCGCCGCCCGCACGTGCGCTTGCGCCGTGAGGAGTGGGTGGCGCAGCTGGCCAACCCCGTGGCGTGCCTCGAGCTTGGCGCCGTCGTCGTGTTCTCCGTCAACGGCACCAACTACCCCGTGTACGACAAGAACAACCTGCTGAACCGCCAAGACGACCCCGAGCGGCCGTTTATCCACGCGCCGCTGGTTGCGCTGGCGGAGGAGCTGCAGTCTGACCCGTCTGCCCGCTCCTTTGCGTACGCGTTCACCAGCCCCGGCGTGTGGGTGCTGCGTGACGCCGGCAGCGGCCGCACCTCCGTGTTCTCCGTCATGGGCGAGAACGTCGAGTGCCCGGACAACGGGCCGTTCTTCCCGGCCACCAGCAGCTCGCAGCACTTGCTCACCGTGAGCCGTGAGGACTCGCTGGTCGTCACGCCGGACTGGCGGCTCATGGGCTTCATCCTCGCTGGCGCCGCCGCCCTGGTCATGGTTGTGCTCGCGGCCACTTCCTACTTCCGCACGGCGGGCTGGGTGGTGGAGGGCCAGCGCACCGTGTCCTATCGCCAGGCGGCGACGCGCTACCCGATCGAAGACATGTCGTCCAAGGGATCGCAGCGCGAGCGCGTGCAGCGCATCAACCGCAAGGCGCTCGAGTTTGACCTGAGTGACCCAGCCAACGAGCCACCACCACAGGGCAAGTCCACCGCCAGCAACAACAACAACAACAACAACAACCACGGCGCCGACGCTGACGCTGACGCCGCTGGTGCGGAGGGTACCAAGGAAGGCGTGAGCCAGCGGTTGAAGGTGCTGTTTGACGATGACTTCTGGGACTACGAGCGCCAAGTTGATTTGGAGAATTTCACAGCGGAGACGCTGTTTGACCTGATTGACGGGCGCACGCAGGAGGTGCACCGTCAAATCCAGGCCAAGAGCGACGAGGTCAAGAAGGTGTACGAGAACATCCGCCACGAGGCGTCCTTGCTCAAGAGCCTGTGGGTGAGCAAGCTGCGGCTTGCGCGCCCCGTGGAGCTGTCGCCACTCCCTCCCGGCCAGCCCAGCAACACGCAGACGCTGAGCAAGGCACGCGACGGCTATGGCAAGGAGCTGGAGAGCCGCAAGTCGCTCGGGGACCGGTGGTATCAAGCGCTGGTTGCCCGCCGCGACATGCTGGCGCGCACGTTCCGCCAGAGCAACGACCTGTACCAGGACGTGCTGAGCCGCGTGGAGGAGGTGCGCACGCAGGTGAATCTGGTCATTGCGCTGCAGCGGTTTGCGCAGCAGCAGCGTATGGACAACAGCGTGGTGGCCGAGGGCCGCGTGCGCTGTGAGCAGGCCGTGATTGGCCTGCGCGAGGCGCTCATCAAGGGCACGGCGCAGCTCCTGTGCTCGTCGCTGGTTGGCGAGAGCGACGTGGAGTCGTTTGGGGCGCGCCTGCTGCCGCCAGAGGATGGCGGGGATGAGCCCGTGCCCACAGAGCAGCTGCGCGACCCCGTGGACGGCGGTCTCGTCAGTGGCGAGTTTATCCAGCGCTCGGAGATTCTGCCTGGCCTGTTTGTGCCTGTGGCCGGCACGCGCCTGCTGCTGGCAGACGGCAGTGTGCAGCCGTGCAGCCCCACGGAGCACGTCGTTGACCCGCGCACCGCCCGCGTGCTTCCCGTGCGCGGCAACGTCGCCTACAACATGGTCACGCGCCAGCTCTTTGTCGTGGTGGACTTTACCAGCATCTCCACGCACTCGGCGCCGCTGCTCTACGTGCCGTGGCCGGCGCAGGCGCAGGCGCAGGACAAGGCGTGCGCCTTCTCGGACGGCACGCCGCTGCAGTCCTCGCTGCGCACCGACGGCACGATGGTGCACGCCGCCACGGGGCTCACCGTGCCCATGTTGGCCTGCACAACGCACCCGGCAACCAAGGAGATTGTGCCCGTCGGCGGCGTGTACGACGACCCCGTGACGCACCTGCCCACGCCCATCCAGCGGTACCTCCCTGGCCCGGCCAGCGGGCACGCCAACACCATCATCGTGGACGTGGACATCAGCGACGAGGGCGACGCCGTGCCCGTGTGCGTGCCCATGGGCAACCTCGACACGCACACGCACATTGCGTCTGAGGAGCCCCTGAGCGGGCGCGTCTGCCTGTCCAACCACGTGTCTCTCCGCACGAGCGCCGCCAGCCCATCCGGCTCTGCGCCCGTGATGCCGAAGCCCCACGGCGTGTCGTGGGTGTCTGGCTTGGACGCGCTGTGCCTGCAGTCCTACCGCTCGTGCCTGACGGAGGTTGAGCGGCTGCCGGTGCTGCTGGCGGACGAAGCACTCGACCCGCTCGCACTGTCCTCCTCGCTGGCCTCTGCCGTGTCTAGCATGGACAGCCAGCTGCGCGACGTACACAGCATCTTCAAGCGCACGGCGCGCCTGAAGCACTCGCTGTTCAGCGACATCCTGCTGCGCTTCGCGGAAGCCCTCAGCATCCGCGAGGACGGTGGGGTGCTGGGCCACCTGGACGAGGGCAACGTGCCGCTGTTTGTGGGCCAGCGCTTGTACGATCGCGAGTCGAAGCTGGAGGTGCCTGTGCTTGGTGTTGCGTACGAGAAGGAGAACGAGCGCCACGTGCCCCTCGGTGGCGTCATGCACAGCCCAGACACGGGCGAGCTGGCGCCCATCTCCATTGGCGCCGCCTACGTGGACCCAGACAGCGGCGAGAAGTCGCGCGTGCAGGGCGCCCGCGTTGACCCGAACACGGGCCGCGTGGTGCCGTCTCGCCAGCCGTGCGTGCGCCAGCGCACGTTCAAGCTGACGGACGACGACCTGGCCCGGCTGGAGGAGGAGCTGGCGGCGCGGCGCGCGTGGCAGCGCAGAACCACCAACCAGGACAACGGCCTGCTGCGGGAGCTGCAGCGGCTCATGGCCACGGTGCTGGAGATGGATGACTCCGAGACGAGCAAGGTCTCGTCGCACCTGGAGACGCTGGCGGAGACGCTCACCTCGCGCTCCCAGCAGATGCGGCGGGAGCAGAAGCGCCGTAAGGAGGAGGAGGGCCGGTTCGATGAGTTCCCCGGCGTGCTCACGGCCATGCTCTTCTCCAACGACAAGCAGGAGGCGTCGCTGAGCGTCAGGCACCTGCAGCAGTTTGAGAACGTGCTGGGCGCCTGCAAGCGGTTCCTGGCAGCGTGCACGGAAGCGCAGGAGGAGCGGGACAACGCGTACTTGCCCGAGCGCGACGGCGCAGACAACACCGACCTCAAGGACAAGGCGCAGACCGCCTTTGAGAACGCCCTGGATGGCGCGCGGCTGGAGCTGTTGGAGTCGCTGTCGATGCAGCTGGCACACGTGCACGAGAGCAGGGCCACGCTGCAGTGGATCTCCGTTGATGACGAGCTGCGTGCCAGCGTCGTGAAGGAGATTTTGGGCAAGATGCTCAGGCAGCAGGACCGCGCCCAGAGCGGCGAGGACGACGGGCAAAACACCATGACCAGCCTGGAGAACCTCATCTCCGTGCTGCAGCACCAGGCGAGCATTCTACGCACGCAGTCCACGACTTCGACAACGGGCCTGTCCGCGTCTGGCCGCTTCACGCTTGCGCAGCTGCGCGAGGAGGCGGAGGAGACCGCACCCGCATCCACGACCCCACCAAAGCAGCCGCGCATGGCCGTTCCTGCCATTGCCGTTGTGGAAGAGGGCGATGACGCCGAGACCGACGGCACGTCCGCAGGCCTGCAGACGCAGCAGGCGGAGCAGCAGCAGCAGCAGCAGGGTGCTGACAGCGGCAGCGCTGCGCTTGAAGTCGGCAAGGCGGGCGGCATGAAGAAGACAGACTCGAAGAAAAAGAAGAAGAAGAAGGACAAGAAGGACGCCACGGGCACGTTGGCCAGCAAGGAGCTTGAGAAGCTGGTTGAGATACAGACGCAAGGGCGGACCGCCCTCGACGCGCGGCTGTACGAGGCGGAGCGCGAGGAAATGGACAAGCTGCTCGAGAAGTTGCGCAAGGAGGAGGAGGACAAGCTGGGAGAGCTCACGGCTGATCTGATGCGCAAGCTTGTTGCTGCCGGCGATGACGAGGCGGCACAACAGAAGCTGCTGGACGCGTACGAGGAGCAAGTGGCCACGGTCCGCAAGCAACACCAGGCCAAGGCAGACATGCAGGTGGCGGAGCTCATGCAGCGCCTCACGCGCATCCGCTATGACGAGACGCAGCGGCACTACCAGCGGGAGCGGGACACGCTGCCAAACCACCCTGACATTGCGCCGCCGCCGAACGTGACGGAGGACGATGTGCAGGCGCAGATCAAGGAGATGCTGCTGGAGCAGCAACGGCTGATTGCGTCGCTGGAGGCCGGCAAGCGCGCCAGCGCCGAGGAGGCGGACCAGGACGGCCAGGGCGGCGGTGCCGTCGTCGACTTTGACAAGCGCATGGAGGCGTTTGCAAACAGCCTGACAAACAAGTCGACGCTGCGCGGCGGCGACAAGGACGCAGAAGCACTGGCCGCGGCCAGCACGACGGCGAAGAAGGAGGTTGCGTCAAGGGCGAAGGTCGTGACGTCAGTCAAGGGCCGGCTGCGGGCCAAGCTTGAGAAGCGGCGCGCAGAGGCCGTGGGCAAAGCCAAGACGGACGAGGAGCGGGCGCAGGTGGAGGCAAGCTACGACAGCCAGCTGGCGACGCTGTCGTCGCACGTGACCAAGGCCGTGGACGATGAGCTCGCTCGCACACAGCAGCAGCTGGTGAAGGAGTTTGTTGCGGAGGACAAGCAAGAGGAGGCGGCACAGATGCTGCGGGAGCACCAGGAGCGCATGCAGCAGGTGCGCGACAAGGTGCACTCTGACCAGCGAGACAAGGTCATGGCGCGCATTGCCGCGCAGAAGCGGCTTGCGGCCCAGCGGCGGCGCGAGCGCATGCAGAAACAGCAGCAGGAGAAGCTGGCTGCAGCTTCTGGCAGCGGCGACGGCGACGACGAGGGCAGCAAGGCCAAGGGCTCTGCTGCTGCTGCTGTCGATGACGGCAGCAAGCACGCGCGCGACCTGGCAAACAAGGTGGCAGCGGCGTCCGTGTCGGACGAGGAGGCGAAGAAGCGCATGGCCGAGCTTGAGCAGGCGCACCTGAAGCGGCTGGAGGAGCTTGAGGCGCAGAAGCAGGCGCAGATGAAGGAGCTCTCCCAGAAGGTTGACGCGGAAATCACAGAGGCGCAACAGAAGGCAGAGGCGGACCTGCAGAAGCGACGGGAGGAGAGCATGCAGGCCGCGGAGCAGCGCATGCGGGAGGAGCAGGAGCGCGCAAAGGCGCAGCTGTCGCCAGAGGAGTTTGAGAAGTTTATGAACAAGCACCGCCAGCAGCTGTCTGAGGTGCAGTCGCGCCTGGACAAGACACAGCAGGCGCAGCGGCAGGCGCTGCAGGAGCGGCTGAAGAAGCAGCGCGAGCGCCGGCGCAAGGCAAACGAGTCTAAGCTGGAGGAGCAGTTTACCACGGAGATGTCCAAGCAATCCGAGGAGCGCGAGCAGCTGCAGTCCGACATGGAGCGCGCCAACGAAGAGAAGGTGCTGCGCGCGGCGGTGAAGGACATGTCCAACTCGCTCTCTGTGGACTCGGCTGCTGGCGGCGGCGGCGGCGGCGGCCAGAGCACGCACAGGGACACGGTGATCCACCGGGTGATGCGCGCGCGCCACCTGCGCGAGTTTGGGCGGCTGGTTGAGCGGTGCGCTGTGGACATGGAGGCGCGGCTGCGGCAGGACGTGGGCAACTTCCGCGAGGAGCGTGCGGAGGAGCGGGAGAAGATTGAGGAGCGATACGAGGCCGAGCTGGCGGAGGTGGAGGAACGCGACGCCAGCGCAAAGACGGGATCGCGGGACGAGCGGTTTAAGATCCGGCGCAAGCTCAAGACGGCGCTGGCCAACTTTGACAAGAAGACGGCGCGGCTGGTGGAGCAGCTGGAGGCGCGCGTGCGGCTGAGCGCCAACACGGACACGGAGCGGCGCAAGCTTGAGCTGAAGCAGCGGCAATACAACGAGATGGTGGAGGCGTTCAAGAACTTCTCGCCGGACAGCGAGGTGCACGCGCAGTACGAGGAAGCCGCGAACCAGGCCAAGGAGGCGGCGGAGGAGTACAAGAAGCGGCTCGGGGCGGAGCGGCAGGAGCAGATGAAGAAGCTCAAGGAGGAGCAGGAGCGCCTGCGCAAGGAGCGCCACGAGAAGATGGAGGCTGAGCGGAAGCGCGTGCTGCAGGAGCTTGAGGCCGAGCGACAGAAGCAGGAGCAGCTGATGCAGCAGAAGCAGCAGCGCAACAAGAAGAAGATGATGGAGCAGATGCGGCAGCAGCAGGCGCACGAGCTGGAGAAGCTGGACGAGGCGCAGCGGCAGGAGGTGATGGAGCGCCACCGCCGCGGGCTGAAGAACCTGGAGGACGCGCTTGAGTCTGAGCAGGACCGGCAGCGGCAGAAGTTCCGCGAGCGGCTGAATGCGCTCAAGGCACGGAAGCAGGAGGCGCGGCTGCGGGAGCTGGAGGAGAAGGAGGAGGAGGAGCAAGCGCGGGCGGAAGAGGAGTTTATGGCCAAGGAGCTGGAGCTGCAGCAGCAGCTGCACTCGCAGGTGCAGGCGACGGTGCGCAAGCGCGACCTGCGGCCCACGACGCCGTTTGTGGCCGGCAAGGGCAAGAAGGCGAAGCAGCCCGGCGGCGCGAAGAAGCAAGGCCAGAGGCGCAAGAGCAGAGCCGCCGCGGCAGACACGGCTGCGGTGTCGATGCTTGACGAAGGCCTGGCGCCCATGCTGTCCAAGATTGAGAGCATCGAGGCGCTGCTGGCGGGCTATGACGGGGCCGTTGCTGGCCAGCTGGGCGACGATGTGGAAGAGGAGTGGGCGAGCCGCAGCGGCGATGCTGCGCTGTTCACCAACAAGGACGACGACGGCAGTGCTGGCGAAGTGGATGTGGTTGGCGACGATGAGGCGACGCAGCGCCAGCGCATGTCGCTGCAGCTGGCCGAGTTTGTGTGCCGGGTTGCTCGCGAGCGTCGCTGGCTGGACAACGACGTCAGGCTGCAGCTTGCCAAGCGGCTTCCTGCCCCCGTCCACTTGCAGAACGCGTTCCGCTTTTCCTACGCGTACAACCGTGATACGCGCACGCTCAGTGTGCGTGCCCAGCGCGCTGATGAGCCCACGCAACTGCTGCTCGTCGTCATTCACGCCCTTGCCCACATCAAGGTGTGTTTGCGTCTGTGCTTGTTTGCATGTGAGAGTGTGTGCGTGTGCTTGTGCTTGTGCTTGTGCTGGTTTGCGTGTGAGTGTGTGTGTGTGTGTGTTTGTTGTGATCGTTGTATGTGTGGATGGCTGTGTGCATGTGAGTGTGTGCGTGTGCGTGTGTGTGTGTGTGTGTGTGTGTGTGTGTGTGTGCGTGCGTGCGTGAGAGTGTGTGCGTGTGTGCGCGCTTTGGTCGTTTGCGTCATTATTTGCTCACACAATTGCGGGTGCTTGCACACACATGATTTCTCTTATCAGGTGGACAACATGGATGGCGACCACACTGGCGTATTCCGCAAGGCGTTCCACAGCCTGCTGCGGCTTGTGTGCTTTGACGTGCTGTTGAGCGGGTGCATTGCGCCTGCGTCCGCCGACGGAGGAGATGGCGGTGATGATGCAGACCGCCTGCAGTTGCTGCTGCATGGCCTGCAGCGCCAGTCACAGTCCAGCAAGCCGCTTGTCAAGCTCCTGGACGACTTCAGCCATGCTTAAACGTCGTTGTCGTGTGTGTGTGTGTGTGTGTGTGGACGTGCATGTGAGCGTTTGTGTGATTGTGTGTGTGTGATTGTGTATGCGTATGAATATGTGTGTAGTGATTGTGCATGCGAGAGTTGAACGTGTGCGCGTATGTGAGAGATGTTGTTTGTTTTTCGATGGTTAATGTCTTGTTTTTTCTGACTCAACTTGCCTGGAAGCAAGCGCCACATGACTGAGCAACCCCATGCGTGCCCCCCCCCCCCAACCCTTCCACTCAACACTGTTGATTGGCATGGATGTCGTATACGTTTGTGTTCTGCTTGATCTTTCTGTGTATGCTTTGTAAAACCCGGCAGCATGCACGTCAGCCAGTCAAGTGTCAACAGCACACAGCATGGGGAAGGAAGCAAGGAGGGGGGGGGGGGGGAGGCACGCGGATGATGGAGGCGCGTGCTCACAAGTCAGCAACAATATATGCACAAGAAAGAAAGAAGCAAGAGCACAAGAGGGCAGGCGAGAACATGAACAAGCAATGGGAGATGCGGTCGTAACACAACACAACGGGCGAAGAAGCAAGCAAACGAATGCATAGAGATGGTTGTCGTTCGTGGAAAAGAAGAACAAGAGCAAAGATCGCCTACATCAAAGCAAAACGCGAGGTTGTTGCCTACAGCAGCAGCAGTCTATGATTGCTTGATTGCGCTGTGTGAGTGCTTAAGAAGCGTGTCTGCACGGCCCGTGCGCTGCCTGATTGTAATAACCACCGCAATCAGCGCAGCAAACACACACAGGCCTGCATTGACCAGCAGCGACACGCGGTAGCAGGCTGGCCCGAGGCAGTGCAGGGCGTGGTCGTGCCCGTGATCGGAGGTGACGTTGACAAAATGGTGGCGCTGCCGGTCGTCGGCCATGCCCCCAGCCATCAACGTGCTCAGCAGCTCAGATCCTGCACGCGCAGTGGTTGGCGTGGTGGTGGTGGTGAGGAGCAAGAGAAAAGATGTGTGTGTGTGTGTGTGTGTGTGGTTGGTGGATTGTTGACGAGAGCGCAAGCTTTGGTGAGAAATATGGGCATGGAAGAACCCAGCCAAGGCAAGGGCAAACCCCTGCGCAGTTAGGCAGAAAGATGAACAGATGGATGCACGCACCTGCTGCTGGGGCAAGGCCTTGCAAGCCGTAGTTGGCGCCAAAATGTACAACTCCAAACGCTTCAGCAGTGAGGGTGGGCACGAGGCAGAAGAACGACCCATAGGCAAGGCCCAGAAGCACGGCACCCAAATACAGGAGGTTGACGCTGGCGAACGCAAAGATGACCTGAAACCCGCGAAATGGATCGAATGCATGCCGGAACATCAAAGGTGCACGCACGCGCATGCAAGCACAGCAGTGGAGGGGGGTGGTGAATGGTAAGCGAAACAAACATGTTTGCACACACATAAACATGCACATCAAAGCACAGACAAAAGTGTGACTGAGATGGGAATGCGGTGTTCACCTGAACGATGGCCATGAGCAAGGCTGCCATGACCAGGAATGCCGGTCGAGGAAGGCGACGGGCGAAGGTGTCGGAGATGTGGCCACTAAACAGCCGCCCAAACGTGTTGCACACGGAAAACTGGTGTCGACATGTGACGGCGGGGGTGTGGGAGGGCAGGGGAGGGGAGAATTAGATTGGGATGAGATGGGGCGCGATTGGGGCACGTGGCATCCAATAATGCAATTATGGGTATGGTCGCGCACACAAGAGTACACACAGACCAGATCAGACACAGGCGCAGACACAGGTACAGACACAGGTACAGACACAGGTACAGACACACACACACACACACACACAGACAGACACACACACACACAGAAAGACACACACACACACACACACACAGACAGACACACACACACACACACACACACCAGACAGAAGTGCCGAAGCGCAATTGTTTTTCACTGTTACCCTCAAGCAACCACTTTTTCTGCCCTGCGGCTAGGTTCTTTTCAGTTCACTCAGGTATTGCGACTCTTCTCGCCAATGCGACGACGTGGACTTTCTTACGCACACGTACTTATTAGAGAGCCGTTACCGCACGTAAATCATTTATCCCCGTCGCGCGTAAGAACGCTTTCAGTGGCTGCTAGGAGGACATACGGCGCCGACGTGGTTTGTATTATCCAATCCTTAATCTAATTTGGCTGGTAACGGACTTTCAGATAGATAAACGGTGTGCCCCCAGACCGAAACCGAGATGCCCTGAACATAAGAGACAACGTGAGCCTGCAGGAGATACAATCCGCTTCCTCAATTTTGTTTTCACTTTCGGCTCGTGATAGGAAGAGAGGGGGTGCGAGTGTGTGTGTGTGTGTGTGTGTGTGTGTGTGTGTGTGTGTGTGTGTGTGTGTGTGTGTGTGTGTGTGTGTGTGTGTGTGTGTTAGGATGTGGATAAATGGAGGGCAATCAGCAGAGAAACAACACCCAAACTCAACACAAGAGGGCGCAAGCAAGCTTCAAGCAAGAAATGAGGTAGATACAACAATTCTTGTCCCCCCCCCACACACACACACACGTGCGTGCGTACCGATGGTGATGCGCAGGGGCTCGGCCGGTGGCGGCGTCGCGTCAGCAGGGGTGAGCGGGTGCATGGATGGCGGGAGGGACGTCTTGTCTGCCACGAAGAGGAGGCGTTGGAAGAACGTTGCGATGAGGCCCGTGCAGGACGTGACCAGCGCAAGGAAGAGGAGGAATTGCGGCAGGTGGCCCGAGTTGGCGCTGGGGAAGAAGCCCTTGAGGAAGACGGTGAAGATGCCGGAGCACAGGCCGAAGAAGCACACCAGCAAGCCAACGACCTGCCGAACATAGACAGGCAGACCGCAAGAAAAGGGTGCGTGTGTGCGTGTGTGCGGGTGTTTGCGTGTGTGTATGTGTGTATGTGTGTGTGTGCGTGCGTGTGTGTGTGTGCGGGGGGATACTGAGTGAGCGAAAGAGAGGGCGTGCAAAAGAGGGGAGCACGAGCAGCATTGAAGTGAGCAGCTGTCACATGAGAGCCTTGCCGCCAATATGACGCCAGTACAACAGTCCAAGGATCAAGTAGCAGGGTGTGTCGCTTGCGCAATACCTTGCCACGACTGTTTGGTCCAAAGTTCTTGACGCTCGTGTTCAAGGCCACGGTGTAGAAGAAGCTGATACCAGCGAAAGGAACCGCATGCCAGCGGGGAGGGAGGGGGAAGCCGTCAGTGCATGTGAGCCGGTACGTGTGTGTGTGTGTGAGCGAAAAGTGCACGCAAGTGTGTGTGTGTGTGTGTGTGTGTGTGCGAAAAGTGTATGCATGTGTGTGTGTATGTGACCAGCAAGTCCAATGTATTGGGGTGGCAGAAGTACTTTGTGGCCAAGTCATGGGCTTTCATCACAGTGTCAATGTCAAGCTTACCCTGATCCCTGGCCCACGACAAGGGCAAGGACGGTGATGAGCCACGTCTTGGCATAGTGCTGGTTGATGTGTTTGTATGTGCATGTGTATGTATGTGTATGCGTGTGCATGTATGTGTATGTGTGTGTGTGTGTGTGAGCTTGTTCAGGGAAGGGCTACACGACAACCAGCACAGCGATCAAGACGGCTTGGTTGGGGGTGGCACGAGTGCAAGCACGTCTGCGACTATGGGCTGCAACAGGCTGCGTCTGTTAACCACACAGACAGAGAGACAGAGAGACAGAGAGACAGAGAGACAGAGAGACAGAGAGACAGAGAGACAGACACACACACACGCAGACAGACAGACAGACAGACAGACACACACACACACACACACACACCTGGACGGCGAGCTTGATGCCAAAATAGCCGAGGAAGAGAAGCAATCCTGCGGCGATACCCGTGGGCTTTGGGCCAACGTGATCGTACAGGACACCACCAATAACGCCCAACCATGTCCCTGCATTGGTGTAGTTGTGTGTGGAGTGATCGGGAAGCGGCGGGTGAACATGCGTGGGTGATGATGTGCATGCTTGTTCAGGCAGCACTGATGGCTGCCACAAGCAACGAAACAGCAAGAGCCATCGCTGTGGATCGCAGCCATACAACAGCATCTTGCTAGCACCGAAGAGGCACAGACATACAGGCAGATACAGACACAGTGAACGAACTTTACACACATACACACAGACACACGCACACATTCACAGGCACAGACACATACACAGTGAGAGAAATTTACACACACACACACATTCACAGACCAACGCGCGCGCACACACACGTAACCATACAGACACAGTCATGTGTGCATTCAAGCATCCCCCCTCACAAGTCGCCCATGCGATCACCTGCGTTGAGGCCGGTGGCGACTGTGTTGAAGGATGAGATGCTGAGGTGCGCCTGGGCGCGCAAGCCATCACTCCATGCAGGGAGCAGGTACACGGTACCTGCACACAGCATCAGCACGCACCCAAACGCCAGTGTAATCCAGCGCTGGGTTCGCCAGCTCGCAAACACACCAACCATCGCTCCTGCTCCTGTAATGGCGTGATGTGATTGCCAGATCGCGTGATGTGATCTGACAACACTGACTGGCTGGCTGGAGAGTGGAAGAGCCGTGTGCGTGCTGCTTTGCTTGTTGTGTTGTGTTGTGTTGTTGTGTTGTGCTCCAAGATTCTCCACCACTGATATCAGTTTCGACTGAATTCAGTAGAGTTTCGGACTTGGGCAACGTGCGCAAAACAAACAGCAGAGTTGTTTTGGGAAAAAGCAAGCTGCAGTCCTGGCTGGCTGCCTGCAGATGCAACAAGCAAAGCGCAACGCTGCGGCCGCTGGCATTCATGTCTCCTCCTCTCGCTGAAATCCAAACAAGCAAACAAACTCCTTCAGCAAGGCGCGCAGATGGCAGGCCGTGCTGGGAAGGGGAAGCAGGTAACAGCCTCAGCTGCATGCTGGCGTGGAGTTGAGGCAGCCCTGGCTGCGGTCTTCCTGCTTGTTCTGCTGGCAGTCGCAGCACCGTCACCGGCAGCAGCAAGTGCGTGCGCCATGTTTTGAAGTAAAGGGTTTGCATTTTGATCGCACTGTGTGCTTGTAATGTCTGTGTGCCTACGTGCATGCGTGCACGCATGAGTGTCGTTGAGCGTATCCTTCTGAAGGGCTTGGCATGAGACTTGTCGAGCTCATGTCACTCATCGTGTCCCTCTGTGCTGGTTGTGATGTCTCCTCGGGAGCCCGAGCTTACTCCCCCATTTGGTTCCCCTCCCCTCGTCTTCATTTTCTCAACACCCTGAGCAGGCGAGTGGGTGCAATTCCAAGAGTACGAGTACATGCTCATCCCAGGAAAGCACAACCTGCAGAACGCAGTGAAAAAGTGCGCTGTCCTCGACGCTTACATTGCCCTGCCGCGCAGCGTGGAGGAAAACACCTTTTTCTACGGCCTCGTCCAGCTGTACGTCACTGCACTCACTGCACCACAGTGCTGCGAGCTCCGTTGTGACCGCGAAACAGGGCGTTATTTATTGCTCGAGGGGAAGGCGCTCTGCAAGTGTTCTCCTACGGCCTCGGCCTTGCCTGTCTTTGCCATCCTCCAAGTGAATGCGATCCCTGAAATGTTGTAACACCCCCCAACCACCCCCAACAATTCGCTCACAGGAATCGACTTGGAGGCAACAATCGCGTGATCATGGGGGGTGCAGACACGGCGGTGAGTGGCTGTGCCATGGCATGGCACGCACGGCACAGCAAACCAGCCACATGGTTACATGGTCGGATGGTCGCGTGGTTGTGCGGCCACCAGTGATTGACGTACCTTTCCCTCACACACTCTCTCGATCTCTCCACACGCATGCGTACATTGCATCACAGGTGGAAGGCCAGTTTCTTTCGCTGATTGATGGACAACCCCTTGAGTACGACGACTGGGGTCCCGGTCAGGTGAGGGCTTCTCCAATGATTGCTGCCCTGCGCAGCCTCGTCACTCAATCACGCTGGCGAGGTTCTTACCATGCTTGCTGCGAAGCGAAACATGCGCACCTTTTGAAGTTTGGGTCTCACACGTCTTCCTCACTTGCATACGTTGGACCCTTGCGCTGCACGTCTTGGGTCGGCGTTCATGGTGCTTTGCAGCCCGACAACTGGAAGGTGTGATGTCTTCACGCGACCGTGTGATGTGGCACACAACAGCCTTGGTTCTCTGTTGTGCATGTCAAGGGGATGAATGGCACTGCTTCCCTGTGCATATGGGTGTGTTCGGTTGGCCGCAGTCTGCAGTTGCGTGCATTCTCACACGTGTTTCCGTGTGTTTGACAATGACCATCTCTCGATCTGCTGCGTCGAACAGAACCGCGAAGATTGCATCACATTCAGAGAGTGAGTCGGAAAGCAGGCGCTGGCATGACAGCTCGGTTGCCCTGGTTTGTTAGCTCGTGTTGTCTTTGTCTTTGTTTTTCCTTATTTCTTGGAAGAAATAGCAGTATGTGCGTGTGTCCTCCCATCGCTCACACGAACACACCGGTTCTTTGCCGCAGGGAGCATTGGAACGATGCCAGTTGCACGTACACGCGCCGCGTGTTCTGTCAGCGGGACTCTCTGTCCGGTGAGTGCGCCTTCCAGCGCAGCTGTAATACATGCTCGCAAACACTTAAGGCGGGTGCCGTTGCCACAGTCTCCAATGGTGGTGGTGGTGGTGGTGGTGGTGGTGCTGTTGTTGTTGTTAGCAGTGGCGATGGCAGGTCCTGTGCGACGCTGCAAGGTTTATGCGGTGCTGCCACTGTTGTCTTGTTTCGTTTCGCATCGCCGTGGACGCTTTGTGCCCTTTGGAAGTGTTGCAAACGCCCACGAGTGGAACCCACCATCACCTCCATTGCACATGTGTGCATGTGTGGTTTCATTCCACTGCATTTGCGTGCAGGTCGATGGATCAAGGAAGGGGACAAGGAGTACTTCTTCAGCCCGGATATCTTGTTGTCCTTCAACGACGCCATTCTCTACTGCGCAGACTATTCTGCCACGCTCGCTGAGTACGTAGGCATGCAGAAGAAGAAGAATGCGAGTTTGGACCAGATGTGATGTGATATGATGCACGCGAGAACAAATGAGACATCGAGCTTTCGCTTCTCCAACTTGGCCTATTCTGCCACTTCCACACACACACACACACACACACACACACACACACACACACACACACACACACACACACACACACACACACACACACACACACACATGCTGTCGCGTTGATGTCCGTCTCACAACTGCGTTTTCGACGAATCGCGGCCATCAGGGCTCGAGATGCAAATGCAGTGCCGTTTGCTGCGCGGTTTGCATGGCACGGACCCACGGACGAAGTATGGCTTAACTTCAACGACACAGACAGCGACGGTGTGTGTGTGTGTGTGTGTGCGTGCGTGTGCGTGCGTGCGTGCGTGTGCGTGCGTGTGCGTGCGTGGGACTCGTTTTTGGCTCATGTTGCTTGCCTGTTGCGTTTGCGATGCTCCATCACCTTAACCACACACACACACACACACACACACACACACACACACACACACACACACACACACACACACACACACACACACACACACACACACACACACACACACACACACACACACACACACCCACAACGCGGCACACCCACATACATACACACACATACCCCATTTTCAGGCCCCTACCCTTTGCTGAGGATGGAGGGCAGACGACCCCCCACCTTGTGTCGCGGGCATTGCGCATTGCAGGGGGGCCTGAAACAAACATGGGTGGTGGTGCAACCGGGGTGGACCAGCAAAAAAAAAAAAAAAAAACCCGGCCATTTTATGTGGGGTTGCTTGTGTGGGTGTGTGTGGCTCCTTTTTTTGAGTGAACACCTGAAGTCTCTTTCCCCCCCCCTTTCTGCCTCC